AAGGCTAGCGCTCTACCACTTGAGCCACAGCACCACTTCCGGCTTTTTTCTTTTTTGCTTATGTGGTGCTGAGGAATCGAACCCAGGGCCTCATGAATGCAAGGCAAGCACTCTACCACTGAGCCACCTTCCCAGCCCTCTGTTTCTTGTATTTTTTAGTCAGTCACTTCTTTCAGTACAAATCTTATTGAATTTGTGTGTGTGTGTGTCTGTGTGTGTGTGTGTGTGTGTGTGCGCGCGCACGCGTGCATGCATGCTGGTACTAAGGCTTGAACTCAAGGCTAGAATGCTATCCCTTTGCTTTTCCACTCAAGACTGGTATTCTACTACTTGAGACACAGCTCCATTTCAGGCTTGTTTTTAGTAGTTAATTGGAAAAGAGTCTCACAGACTTTATTTGGCCTGGCTTTGAACTGCAATCCTCAGATCTTATTATACTTTGGATTATTATAAAACTTTCAATTTTTTTGTTGATCAACCAGTCCCAGTTTTGGCCATGGGGACTTCTTTCAATGGAGTGAGTCTTGTGTCCCCTTGATATACTCCCATCACCGATTTTTGGTTTACCTTTGTCTATTAGCACATTCTTACTTTCTGGAAACATAAGATATATCAGGTATATTTTATAGTATTCTGCCTCAGTACAGAATTAGTTATCTCTGCAGGGAGTCCTGGTTTTATTTAATGGAGAATTGTATTAGAAACACAGGTCTGTGTAGTAAATACACTCAGCGCTATTGAGTGTCCTTGATTCTAGATCCTCTCAGGTGACAGGCCCAGAAAATATACATGCATTTACTAAGTCATATATCTATATTTATCTTCATTAAGCTAAACATTGGTTTTTATTGATATCTCCATCTGTAAGCCATTACCACATGGATTATTCTGTTCTTCCTTTGTTGATCTGTGCATTCCCATTCCAACATTTACGTAATTGTTGTAGTACATGTGTACAATCACACTATTTAAAGATAGGGATGAAGTTTGAGAAATGTAGCCAATGATGTCATTGCATAAACATCATGAAGAGAATTTGCAAAAGCCTTTACAGTATAGGTCAGTTATTTGACATGGCTACCTAACAGACTTGGTAAACAGAAATGGTAAACTTTTCTTTGTAAGTAGGAGTACACTAAAATAAGGAAGTACAGTGTAGTAAATACACAAACAAGGCATTTGTTATTATTACCAAGTATCATGTACTCTGCATAGTTGCTTGTGTTGTGTCTTTATATGGCTGGCATCACAATGTACTTCATTATACCAGTATCATCACAAACACAGGAGTAATGTTAGGATAGCTATGATACCACTAACTAATAGAACACATTTCAGCTGTGTTCTAATCTTACAGGACAATGATGGTATAGATGCAGTCTGTTTTTTTTTTTTGTCAGTTGTGGGGTTTGAACTCTCGGCCTGGGTGCTGTTCATCAGCTCTTCAGCTCAAGGCTGGTGGTCTACCATTTGAGCCACAATTCCACTTCTGGTTTTCTGGTGGTTTATTGGAGATAAGAGTCATGGACTTTCCTGCTGGGGCTGGCTTTGAACCATGATCCTCAGATCTCAGCTTCCTGAGTAGCTAGGATTATAGGCATGAAACACTGGTGTCTGGCATGTAGTCTGTTCTTAACAGAAATGTTATGTGGTACACGACTATATGATAATGTCAGAATTATTTAGTCTGTATTCTCATGGGAAACAGTTTTTACCAATTGGTATACAATTCTTACATGCAGTTCCTTTAGTATAGTCTACAGATTGCTCTCTCTCAAGGCTATCACTTTTTTAATCACATTTTTTTTCTTTTTATTGTCACGGTGATGTATAGAGGGGTTACAGTTTCATAAGGTAATAAGTACATTTCTTGTCAAACTTGTTATCCCTTTTTTTTTGTTTTTTAATCTTTTTTGGGGTGGGGTGGGGGTTGGTCGTGAGGCTTGAACTTTGGGCCTGGGCGCTGTCCCTGAGCTCTGCAGCTCAATGTTAGCTGTCTACCACTTGAGCCACAGCACCACTTCCAGCTTTTTCTGTTTATGTGGTACTGAGGAATCAAATCTAGGGCCTCATGCATGGGAGACAAGCACTCTACCACTGAGCTACCTTCCCAGCCCTTGTTATTTTTAATATTAGGTTTTCCTTTATATTCCTACCAGGAACTAGAGTAGGGACTGTATTGTGATCTCTGAAAGTAAATTTGTAATTATAAAACAGGACTTTCTATAGATATCAGATAGAAAACAATATGCCACAATTGGTTGCTAGTTAAAACACATCTGAATCCACATTAAGCCTTTCCATTGAAGTAGGCTGTAGACTCAGTGGGACACAGTAAGGCTTGCAGGATTTTTAAAGCTTTAAGTTGGCTGTGCATCCCCATTCTGTGATCTAAGGAAGGAATGGGGAGATTTACCAAACATTATTATTCCTATCCACTCTGGCAATGGTAATGAGGTAGCCTATTTTATTGTTATTAGGGATTTTTTTTTGGAGTACTGGAGTTTGAACTCAGGGTCTCAAGATTCTTTACTGCTTGAGCCTTAACCTCTAACCTTGCTTTTTGCTAGTTATTTTTGAAGATGGAGTCTAGTGGACTTTTCTGCCCATGCTAACCTCGAACCATAGTCCTTAGGGATGAGACACTGGCACCCAGCTTATTTCTCTTCATTAATTCATTAATTTTCTATATGTTAGAACGACCCATTCTATTTGGTAGCAACTAGCATATGTGATTATTTAAATTCAGTTTAAATCATATAAAATTTAAACTTCAGTCACAATAGCAACATTCTGGTGCTCACAGTATCAGAAATTTGTATTTGCGGAAAGTTCTAGTACACAGCATTGTTAGGTGATGAATCAAGAGACAGTGTGTTAAAAACTAGCTCCCAAAAATAATTTAGTCTTTCCCTATCACAAATGTATAGTCCAAATAATATTAACAGTAAAAAGAAATGATCCTTAACTTATTAATAATTTTAGATTGCTATTTTCCTGGGAAGAGCTGCCAATATTTACCCCTTGTCTCTGTTACTTAATTTGGGTAGAAGAAGTAAGATTGGATCAAATTTTCAACATATGATGATGTTTGCTGGTAAGTTGTAACTTTTTTATCTTGTCCACTCGAACAACTTGTTCACAACATATGCTAGCTTTATAAATGAACCTAAAATGTCTTGACCGAAATTGTATCTTTCCTTACATGAAGATCCTCAGTGTCCCATTCTCTTCTTTGAGAATCTTTTAATATTCTGCCACCAAGTCTTTGGTTTAGGACTATGTCATACAAAATAAAAGGATTAAAGATGAATACATTCTCACATCAAGACTTAGAAGTCTAAAGGAATTTTATCTGTAATTATCCATTTGTCTGCCTTTAAATAGGCAAAGAGAGAAAACCGCTTTGGTAAATCCATGCTTTTAGAATACTATTAATCACTAAAAATAAACTGTATTTTATTGGTATATATTAAATTTAACAGAGTAGGGGGTTTCATCAGGACATTTCTATACATTCATATGCTTTGATTATATTCATTCCCCCATTACTTTTTCTTGTCCCCAGTTCTACCTCCTTCCTTTCCCTTTCCCTTCCCTTTCCCTTTTATGACCATGCATATTTTGGGGGGAGGCTCCCAAGTTTTATTCAGGAACTCATACAAAATATTCCTTATAAATGAATTTTAATCCTCCTCTTCCTTCTCTTCTTCCTCCTGGTTAATCTGGAAGTAACGTAATTCATAATTCTCTTTGCTGTTAGCAACTATGAGTAACCAGTCACGTAGACTATTCTTCTTCAAATATTTTTTGGTGAGATATTTCAAATACCTTTTGGAGAAAGGCACCATAGAAGTTACAGTGATCTTGCTTTTGCTTCTCTCGATGGTGACCACTCGTCCACCAAGATTTCCAGCTTTCCCAATCACCTTGATTCTCTCTTGGAGAAACTGCTCAAAATTGGCAGCATCCATGATACCATCTTCTACAGGGTGGGTGTAGTTCAAGGTGAACTCCAGAACCTGCTTCATTTTTTGCCCCCTCTTACCTCAAGCCTTTTCACAGGTACCAGGGTGGCAGCGGAGGCAGAAAGGGAGCGAAATGCACCACACAGATGCAGAGCCCTTGGCGCGCAGGGCACACAGGGCTCAACCACTACCATGAAAATTTTTATTTTGTTTTGATTTGTCTTGTTTTATTTCTCCCTTCCACAATGAGAAAAAAATGAGTATTTGTCATTTTGGAACTGGTTTATTTCACTCAACATGATGATCTCTGTTCCAATTTCCAGCAAATAATATAATTGCATTCTTTTTAATGGTTAAGTAAATGTACCACATTTTCTTTATCCATTCATCTGTTGTTGGTCACCTGGGATGAATCTAAAATTTGGTCATTGTGAAAAAGCAGGGTATACAGATATCTGTTGTTATAAAAGAAATTATTGATCCATACAACCCAGTTGAATATCAGAATCATCATGCTTAGTGAGAGAAGCCAGTCTCAGGTTACATACTCTGTGAGTTCACTTGTGAAACATTCTCAAAAAGACAATCAAGTAGAACATGGTACATGTCTATAATGCCTGGTACTTGGGAGTTGGAGGCAGAAGGATCAGGAATTTGAGGCCAGTTCAGGCAACAGCCAATGTTAGACCCTTTTTCAAAAGCAAGATGAAAACTGAAGAGTTGGAGGCATATAGTAAGAGCAAGGCCTGGGCTCAATACCCAGTATCATAAAAAGAAAAAAAAAGCAATGAAGAATAGATCAGGAGTTTAGTGAAAGAAGTGGAACCTAGGAAGTTGTAATGCAGAGGAAAATCGGGAGAGAGGAGATTGCTTTGTGTCTTGATAATGGTAGTGGCTATATTTGTCTATGCATTTTCAAACAAAACTCATGGAACTATGAATCAAAACACTTTTTATGTATAAATTAGTTTTTTTCAAGGAGTCTGTATTGAATTTACTTTTGAAAGAAAAAGAAATTTCTCTTAAAATCTGGTTCCAGAGAGAGAAAAAAATTTTTGTGCTCATACTGGGGTTTGAACTCAGGGCCTGAGTCTTAGCCCTTTTGCTCAAGGGTGGCACTGTAGCACTTGAGCCACACTTCCATTTCTACCTTTTTTTCTGGTTACTAGGAGATAATAGTCTCACAGACTCTTCTGCTTAGGCTGGCTTTGAACTGCAATCCTCACATCTCAGCTTCCTGAGTAGCTAGGACTCCCAAGTATGAGCCACTATCACCCGACTGCAACAAAATAAATTTTAAAAAGTATTGAAAGATTGTTGCATTTTTGTACTTGGTTAACTGCTCCTAAGATTTTCGGATGTTTATGTGTCTGAATTTATGATGCTTTCATTGGTATCAACTATTGACTACCCCTTCAATTCCCTGTAGGCCTTCGTGGTGCAATGGCATTTGCTTTGGCCATTCGAGACACTGCCACTTATGCACGGCAAATGATGTTCAGCACCACACTTCTGATTGTGTTTTTTACTGTGTGGGTATTTGGTGGCGGTACCACGGCCATGTTGTCATGCCTGCATATAAGGTGAGTAGAAGCTGGTGACCTCACTTATTTGTTTCATTTATTTTTAAATTTTTATTGTCAACGTAATGTACAGACGGGTTACAATTACATAAGTAAAATAGTGAGTACATTTAAGGTAGTGAGTACATTTCTTGTCAAACTTGTTACCCCCTCCCTCATGTTTCTCCCACTTACCCTTCCCCCAACCCCTCCCAAGTTGGACAGACCATTTCCAACATATTTTCTTGTGAGTATAGCTGTTACGTTGCCTTATTTATACCTTTTTTTTGTTGATCATGGGGCTTGAACTCTGGGCTTGGGTGCTGTCCCTGTGCTCTTCAGCTCAAGGAGAGTGCTCTACAGCTTGAGCTACAGCGCCGCTTCCTGCCTTGCCTTATTTTAACATTAAATATCGATTCAGGTTATTTTCCTTTTAGTCACAAGATTTTAACTTTTGGTGAATCAATAATTTTTCATTTATTTCTCTTCAAAAGTATACGCTCTGGTACAAGAAAAACAAATAAGAGCAAAAAAGAAAAAGAAATGGAAACCAGTACTAACACTTCATAGATTCGCTTTACAGAGCTTTTATATACATCATACATTTTTAACAGAAAAAAGGCAAGCCTAAAAGTATGCTTGAATACACTTTTTTAAAATATAGCATGGATATTTACATTTGTAAATATATTCACATCATTATTTCAATGGTGGTATATATCCTGATTGGCTGACCCAAGTATCATTGGACTTTTGTATAGTTTCTAGGTTTTTGCTGTTATCATTGCCATTTGAGGATTTTTTTGTTACTGTTACCAGTAAGAACATTTTTTATATGTTTTTATTGTAAAAATACTGTACAGAGGGGTTACAGTTACATGAGTAAGGTAATGAGTCCATTTCCAATCAAGCATTGTTACCTCCTCCTTTGTTCCCTCCACCACCACCCCTTCCCTCCCTACCTCCCCAACTCCTCCCTCCCACCCATCCCACCCACCCCAAGTTGTAAAGTTCGTTTTCAGCATAGTGTCTTGCACATCTCATTGTTACAATGGGTCAACCTGTATTCTTATTTCAGCATTTTGTTATTTCCCTTCCCCTCCCCAAATGAGAAAAATGAACATTTTTATTTGTATAGCCAACTGTGTACTTTATTTCCTTAGTATGCATTTGTAGGAGACAAATTGTTCAGTGAAAAGGATGTGCATGTGTTTAAGGCTTTTGGTCATATTATCTTGTTGGATACATCTGCAGCTTGTGAGACAGTCCCATTTACCCCATGTCTAATCAATATTAGATGCAGTTATTTTTTCTTATCTTAATGATCACTACTGTTTCTAGCCAAATGCTGGAAGGCCAAGATCATGAGGTCTTAGTGTTGCCGTGTGTGATACTTAATGTATTCAATTTGAAAGCTCCCTTGTATCTCAAGAGTTCTGCATTTGTTTCCATGGATACAGCAGTCTATGTTGCTGAGGCTTTGTAGATTGTACTTCTGTGTTTGGCTAAAACTTCATAGATGTTAAAAGCTACCAAGCTTCCAGGTTATCTAGGACTCATTAGGGAAAACAGTATTTCATGTTGTAGATAATCTGTCCTCCATTTTTAATTCTATTATGCCTTTTTTCTAACCTTGAATCAGTTGGAATGTTGTTACTATCATAATTTCTTTTCTCTATTCAAATTCCATTCTTGTTCATTTTCATGCTATTACTGTGTGTGGTAGACAACATAATACAGCATATATGCTGTAAACCCTAATAGTATTCTTATAACCTTCTTTATTACTTGAAGGAGGACTTGGCATTTATTGAGTACCTACTGTGTGCTGGGCCTCATGCTCAGTGTATTTAATATGATCACCCAATCATAATACATCTGTTTTACAAGTTAAGAAACGGATGCTCAAGAAGAGTCTTACTCATTCAAGGTTGAACAAACAATGATATGGTGATTAGAGGAGCCTCTGATCATCATTTTTTTCTATACCATAGTACCTCAAAAAATGAAAATAGAGCAAAGTGCCAGTGGCTCACGCCTGTAATCCTAGCTACTCAGGAGGCTCAGATCTGAGGATCGTGCTTTGAAGCCGTCTTGGGCAGGGAAAGGTGTGAGACTTTTATCTCCAGCTAACCACCAGAAAACTGGAAGTGGTTCTGTGGCTCAAAATGGTAGAGTACTAGCCTTGAGCCCAGGTCCTGAGTTCAAGCCCCACAACTGACCAAAAAAAGGAGAGATAGAATAGGACATTTTGGAAACACGAAGCTCCTTTTTTTCCCCCCAACAACTTGTAAATAATGACTCTCCTAGGGGGAAAAATATTAAATGTGTAGTAACTTAGGAGAATAATACTCTTCAATGGAGTCTTAGTTTAAAAAGAATCACTTATCTTCCCTTATTGCCTCCATCAAAAAGACAAAGAAAATGTCCATGCTTTACCATGTCTTCTTTAAAAACAACCCAAACAAAAACCCACTTGCTCTCTGTGCAAAGAATTTAATTTCTGTCATTAGCTTTGAGAGCTCTTTGGATGGCCTTATTTACCTGTACCACAGCTAACCACTTATAATATTCATTGCCCTACAGTATTAGATTATTTGTTGTTGTTTTCTTGTTTTATTGGAGTGATTTGGCCTCATTGTGAACAAAGCCTGTATTTTCAGCTTCTCTTCCCTCTTGAATTTGTCTGGTCCAATTTTGAGAATGCTTATGAGCCCTGAGAATTGATGATTCATGCACATTTAACTTTGTCTTTAAATTCTCACTCCTTTGTTAAAACGAATTGTGTGATCTTTGGGAAGTCCTTTAAGCCGCTGTTTCTGCATCTGTAGCACAAGTAACAGTACTGTTTCCTAGATGAGGATTTAGTGAACTAATATCTACAAATGTCTGTAGGGGTTACAAGGATGCCTTTTTTGTGCTGGTCCTGGGGCTTGAATTCTGGACACAGTCATTGTCCCTGGGCATTTTTTGCTTATGGCTAGTGCTTTACCACTTGAGCCTCAGTTCCACTTGCAGCTTTTTTGGTAGCTAATTGGAGATAAGAGTCTTACAGCCTTGCCAATGGTGCCTATCAAGGCTGTCTTTTTACTTTTTTTTTGTTGGTCACGGGGCCTGAACTCTGGGCCTGGACACTGTCCCTCAGCTCTTCAGCTCAAGGCTAGCGCTCTAGCACTTGAGCCGCAGTGCCATTTCCGGCTTTTTCTGCTTATGTGGTGCTGAAGAATCGAACCCAGGGCCTCATGCATGCAAGGCAAGCGCTCTACCACTGAACCACCTTCCCAGCCCAAGGCTCCCTTTTTAATGCTAGTACCATAGCTTGAATTCAGGGCCTCACCATTGCTTAAGCTTGCTTGCTTGCTCAATTGGTGGTCTACCACTTGAGTCACATCTCCAGACTAGCATTTTGATGGTTAATTGGAGATGGAGTCCTGTGGACTTTTCTGCCTGAGGTAGCTTCAAAGTACAGTTCTCTAGAACTCAGCCTCCTGAGTAGCTAGGGTTATAGACATGAACTACTGGCACCCAGATTAATTGTGCCTTTTATGCATTCCTTCACTAAATATTTATTGAGTGCCAGACCTGTGTTGGTCACTTGTTTTTGGTTCTGCAGGAAATAATTCTGTTCACCCTTGCCTAGTAGGGAGCATTTGACAATATTTAGATCCATTTTTGATTGTCACAAATGAGACAGGGGTCTACTGCTGGCATTTTGTAGGCAAAAACCAGGGATGCTACTAATTCTCTAGTGCATAAGACAATCTCTCCAAACTAACTAATAATTATTTGGGCCACAATGCCAGTAATTCAAAGTTAAGAAACCCAGCTCTTAAGAAGGACCGTAGGAATAAAAATATCCCTAGTCACCTAAAATGTATACTTTACTGAGAAAAGGCAGACAACAAAGCAGTAAATAATCTAATGAACATGATCATTTTAGAAGGCAATCAGTAGGGTAGTGACTGGGGCTGGGGGGCAGTGGCTCATACCTATAATTTTAGCTACTCAGGAGGCTAAGATCTGAGGATTGTGGTTTGAAGCCAGCCTGGGCAATAAAGTTTGTGAGACTCTTATCTCCAATTAACCATCAAAACCTGGAAGTGGAGTTGTGGCTCAAGTGGTAGAGCACTAGACTTGAGCAAAAAAATAAAGCTCAGGGACCATAACAAGGCCCTGAGTTCAAGCCCCAGGACTGGCACAACAAAAAGTCAGGGACAGTCTCCTTTGAGAGTTTCCACTCAAACTTACTCAACTAGAGTGACAAGATAGGGCGAAGATATAGAAGAGTAGTCCAGGCAGAGACAAAAGCAAGTGCAAAGGCCCCAAGTCAGAAGCTGACTTGGCCTACTGGATGAGCAGAACAATAGACTACTTAGTGAGAGAATAGTGATTAAATGATGTGTGAAGAATTAGGTGGACAAACTCCTAGGTGACCAGGCTCTGTAAACTCTTCTTGTAGAGTTTAGGCTTTGCAGGTCATGTGGGCTCTGTCTCAGTTTCTCAGGTCTAGTGCCAAAGCATCTATAAACAATGTGTTAATCAACTGGTGAGGCTATGTTCCAACCAAGCCTCAGACCAGAGATTTGGCTCAAGTGTTAATAGTGCTTATCTAGCAAGTAGGAAGTCCTGAGTTCAAACCCCAGTAGTGTCAAAGCTGTCAACAACAGAACTTCACTTACAAAAACAGGAGGACTACTGGATGTCCCACGGGCTGTATCTTGTGGACCCCTACTGTAGGGTTTTTTTTAAGGTATAAATGAGAGAGTTTGGATTTCAAAATGCAATAGTAATCTTAAGGAATATTAAACAAGGAAGTAGTGGCATGACCTCCATAAACCAGGTATGGGATCACCTGGAAATAATGGCCACCCCAAGTGAATTGCAATGAGGCAGTCAGTCATTACTGCGCAAAGCATGTGAAAACGTTTGCCTATCACTTACGAGCCTTTGCTCTGCCTGGGCTTCTCTTTTACCTCCTAATAATTGACATAGCCAAGTGCCTTCCCCCTACCCTCTGTTCTTTTCTCTCTAAGCACTTTCTCTGCATAACATCGTGTCCCTCCATTATAACATTTTAAGGTCTGGAGGTATGGCTTAACCCCTGTCTAGCAAGCTGGGGGCCCTGAGTTCAAACCTAAGTACTGTCAAAGGATAAAATTGTCCATTATAGCACTTAGCTCATTTAACCTTGTAATAATGGGGTAGAGTTATAAGAACTACTTAGTGTTCATGATCTATCAGACACTCTTAAAAGTTCTCCATACATTTTTGTGTTTAATCCATACATCAACCCTTTTCAGGTGATAGAATTACAGTCCACAGGGCTGCATTATATGAGTTCGCACAGCTCGGCAGAAGCCAGTGGGGAATTTGAATCCAGTATTCCCTGACAAGCAAAGTCTTGGAGATTCTATTCTAGTTGTCTGTAAGCTCCTTGGGGAAAGGAACCATGTTTATTTTTGGTTATTTTATTTTTTTGTTGGACGTGGGGCCTGAACTCTGGGCCTGGGCACTGTCCTTCAGCTATTCAGCTCAAAGCTAGCACTTTACGACTTGAGCCACAGCACCATTTCCAGTTTTTTCTGCTTATGTGGTGCTGAGCAATCGAACCCAGGGCCTCATGCATGCAAGGCAAGCACTCTACCACTGAGCCACCTTCCCAGCCCCAGGAACCATGTTTAATTTATATCTATGTCCTCTACCTAGCACAGTACCTGTCAAATAATAAATACTCTGTAATTGTTTTATTACACTCGACTGGCTCTGGGTATGAGTATTGTACATGTACTATCTTCAAGACCACTAGATGTCACTTGAGATACATAAATGGGTGAGAGTCTAACATGCCTAAGAATTAAATAGTGCCAGGCTGTTTTTTTTTTAACAAAGTAAAAATGATCCTTTCTTTGAATTATGAATCTGGTCATGACCATCTTTTTTCAAATATTTAGCCATGATTCCCTTGCCTTTCAAATGTGGTCTTGTTTCATTTTCCTCCCTTAAATGTTCTTTGTCTTTGGGGATCCTGCTGTTATAACTTCTAGCACTGCCATGTAGTAGGTAATAATTCGTAAACACTTGAGAACCTATTGTGTGTCAGGTACTGTGCTAGACTCTGGGAATACAGAAATGAATTGAGATATGGCTTTTGCCTCAAGGAGCTCATAGGCTTTTGAGGGGAAGAGAGAGAGAGAGAGAGAGTTAAATAACTACTGCACTAAGTGTGTGTGTTTCTATATATCTATGTCTCTATTTTTTGTGTGCATGCACGTGGTACTAGGGCTTGAGCCCAGTCTCATGTGTTTCTAGGCAGGTGCTCTAATACTTCAGTCACATCTCTAGTCCTTTTTACTCAAGGTTATTTTTCAGATATGGTGTTAATTTTTGCTTGGTGCCAGCCTCTCATGGTAGTCCTCTACCTATGGCCTCCTGAATAGCAGGGACCACAGAAGTATGCTTGTTTTGTTGAGATGAGGTCTTCCCAACTTTTGTCTAGATGGCCTCGAATCCTAATCCTTCTAATCTCCATGTACAAAATAGCTAGGACTATAGTCTTGAGCTACCATGCTGAACCTTTTGTGCTAAGTATTGTAATGAAGAGACTCTAGAAAGTTGTACAGAATTATAGAGGAAAAGTCAGTTGGAGGACTCATAAAGTAGTTATTGTAGAACTTATTGAGGAGCTAAGTGAGAGGCAGCATATGCAAAGGCATGGAGGCCCAGAGAGGACCAGAGTTTCAGAAGAAGAGGAAGGGGAAGAAGGTGGAAAGGTAGGTAGGAGTGAGGAGTGGCCAGTTGCATGTGGAGAGCCTTAAATGCAACTCAAGGGACTTCAGAGTTGACCCTCTACATTAGATTGTCAGCCGCATGCAGTCTTTTGTGAAGACAATGACCCTGTGAGTTGTGGGTTTGGATAGCTAACTGGAGGGGTGGGGGACAGCCTGGTGTTAGAAAACTTTACTCAACACACTGAGTCAGAATAAGTCCCACGCTGGAGCAGCTGAAAGAGGCAATGGGGAGAAGGGGGAGTGGGGCAGAGAGGGGGGAGAAGGTAGAGAAAAAGAGTGCCCAGAGTGTCAGGGGCCAGAGAAGAGACACACAGAGCTCCTTAATGAAGCTGTTTCCTAGGACACTCAGAGCAGGAATTGAGTGGAGGTAAAAAGAAGAATTAATGAAAAACTAAGGCTACTGCTTGTCCATTAGCCTGTGCAAACAGCTATAATTGGAACCCTTCTAACTCACAGAAAGTTGCCATGAATTCTGTGAGGTCCAAAACCACACAACTCCCTCTTAGAATTGCACTGTCAGCCTTTGTTTCTGGAACTTTCCAGTCGTTCTTACTCAGCAACTGGAGCAATGTTGTTCTCCCCGACTCTGCTTCAAGTGGAATTATATTTAGAGGAGAAATGCTATTTTACTGAAACTGGTAAGTGGGATTATAGGAATAGGATCATTTATTCTGCTTGCCTTAGAATCCAAGCTGTTGCTAAGGAAAGAGACAAGAGCCACAAATGTACATCAACAAGCACAGAGAAACAAGAACACATTAACTATTCCAACAGCTTCTCTGTAGAGAGAAATAGCTGCCTGACAGCGTATATATGTATGTATATACTAGACTTATTTTGGCTTCAAAATCTCATTTACTCTTTGTGTTTTTCCTTTAGGGTTGGTGTTGACTCAGACCAAGAACATTTGGTAAATATGCATTTATGTTGTCCTTGGCATTTCTGTTGAATGTACAGCCATTTGGGAAGCAAACTGTCTCTCCTAGACTACATGACCCTACTAAGATCCTGTCCTATTTGCCCCAGCTTTTAGCTGACATCATTCCTGGCTTTTCACACCACTACATAGAGACACAACCACATTTAGACAGCATATGCTTATCAAGGTTGACAGCTTTCCTATCTGTGGGCCATGCTGGACTTTTGCCACCGAGCCAAGTAGTCTCTTAAGCGCTTCTGGGTTTTCAAGTGACTGTTCTGGCACAGGGAGCCTTTTTCCACTTAGGTTTGCGCATGCAGGCTTGTCTCTGATGTCAGCCCACTCCAGCTGCTCTTCCTGTGTAACTTTCAAGTTGGATGACCAGCAGCTGCCCTTGAGAACTGCCTAGAAGCTTTTGAATCTTGAACTGGTCTCCAGTTCTAGGGAAGGCACTTAGCTACCCAGTGCCTTAGTCTTGGCCACATTTCTTTCCATCCTTCCTTCCATGTGTCAGATTCTCAGCTGTCTGTAGGATATTCAGCCTTTTGCAGTGGAGTATGGTGTAACTGGCCACACTCTCTAGAGTGACCACAGTTTTCCATTCATTTTTAATGGTTTCCTGGCACCACTGAATCCATCATTTCTACTACTAGATATTAGATGAGAAATTCCAGAAATTAAGTGTTTCAAGACAAAGTGTCTCTTTCAAAGCACAATTCTTGTTCTTGTCTGAAATAAACCCTTGTGTATTTTTCTTTAGGGTGTGGTTTTAAATTCCCTCAATGTTAATTTAGTTAGCTGTTGAATGATGAGTGTGTGTGTGTGTGTGTGTGTGTGTGTGTGTAGGTGCTTGCCTCCTTTGTGGTTGGAACCTTAAAATAGAATTCTCTGGCTTGAAATACCTAGGCAAAGCAGACTGGGTAAATTCCCATTATGCCTAGCAGCTAGGGTAGTGTTCAAAGGGTAAGAGTTCCTCAGTATCTTCACCTCTGGGTTAAGACAAGAAGAACGTTATACAGCTAACCAGACAAATGCTTAATCCCAGTGTGTGTACATCTCCACCAGTTAGCTGTATCACCTCTGTCAGTTATAGAGGAAAAATGAGGTGACAGGGAAAGAGACTACTAGTTGGGTCATAAAGGGAAAAATACCATTTCTCTCTGCCTTTAAACTGTATGGATACCTTCACTATACTTACTCAGTAAGTTCGAATATCCTGTATGAAGCATAGAAGAGCATATATCGTGAGAATGCAATATAGGGGACTGAGTGTGCAGGAATTAATATAGTGAGGGCACACCTGTAATCCTAGCTATTCAAGAGGCTGAGATCTGAGGATAAAGGTTAGAAGCCAGCGTAGGCAGGAAAGTCTGTGAGATACACAGACTTTACCCACAAAAAAAAGCCAGACATAGAGCGGTAGGTCAAGTGGTTCAGTGCCAGCCTTGAGTGAAAAAGCTAAAGGATAGTGTCCAGCCCTGAGTTTAAGTGCTCATATGCATGCATGTGCATACACACATATGCACGTGCATGTGCATGGACACACATACACACACGAAATAAAGACAGAAAATTTTTAAAAATGATAAGTGTGCCACAAGCTGGAGGTGTGTGGCTCAATAGTAGAGGACTTGCTTAGTATGGCACAAGACCCTTACTTCCATCCCTAGCACCAATATAAATACTTGGGAGGGAAAAAGGAAGAGAGGGAGGGATTTGTGGATGACATAAGGACAGAGGGAAGAAAAAATGTGGAGGTACACAAAGCTCCACTTAATAACGTGAAAGGAAATGCAGAGTGTTCTTTGGCTCTTATAAGCTCATACAGTGCCCCCAAATACCTTTTTCTGTATGTGTTGGTACCTGTTGAAGGAAAGAATAAGTTGTTTTAAATGTTAAAGAAGACAAGAATAGAACCAAAACCTGGAATCTAAACTCTGCACTTCTCAACAATCATGGGCCAGCAGTGGAAAAGGCTTTAGGGAATCTCTAAGGTTCAATTTTTTTATTTTATTTATTTTTTGTCGGTCATAGGACCTGAACTCTGGGCCTGGACACTGTCCCTCAGCTTTTCAGCTCAAGGCTAGCACTCTACCACTTGAGCCACAGTGCCACATCTGACCTTTTCTGCTTATGTGGTGCTGAGCAATCAAACCCAGGGCCTCATGCATGCAAGGCAAGCACTCTACCACTGAGCCACCTTCCCAACCCTTGTTTTGTTTTTTAATAAAAATTTTATTGTTATTGTAAAGGTGATGCATAGAGGGGTTCCACTTACATAAGCTAAGTAATGAGTACATTTCTTTTTGAACAGTGTCACCCTTTCCCTTGCTGTCTCCCAGTTTTTCCCTCCATTCTCCACCCACAAGTTGTTTAGTTCATTTTCAATATAGTATCTAGTGTATCTCACTAAGGCTCAAATTTTCTCTAAGAAGGAATTCAGGCATAGAGAAGGAAGGGAGTTTGTCCAAACTAGTTAATGTCAATAAGTCAGGACTGGACCACATAGCCTAACTTAACCACTTGACTACTCACCACAACATGTTACCAATAAGGACATAGTTTATGCTTCATAGCTATTTTAGAAGATGCCTTCCTGTTTTGCTAGTTTTTCCTCCTAGCCACTCAGTCTTACTGTGGAATTTTCCTATCATTTTCATTGTGCTAATGTGCTAAGAACATAGTAGCTACTTTGAAAGTATATTATGGTAGACATAAGTGCTGTTATTATTTTTTTTTATTTTGAGACTCACACCTCCCAAATATGCATATGTTCATGTGATGTTCTCTATTGACAGTGCTCTTATAATGGGGGTACAAATCTTTCTGATTTAGAATGCAAATTAACTTCTTTTGTGTGTGCAAGCACTAAGGCTTGAACTCAGGTCCTATGTATTGTCCCGTAGCTTTTTCACTCAAAACTAGCACTCTACCACTTGAGCCACAGCTCTGCTTCCTGCTTTCTGGTGGTTATTGGAGGTGAGAGTCTTATGGACTTTCTTACCTGGGTTGGCTTTGAACTATGGTCCTCAGATCCCAGCCCCTTCAGTAACCAGGATTACAGTGAACCACCATTGCGAGCTCCACATTACTTTTAAATAATGACAGTAGAGATGTTATTAGCAAGCTTAGAGATAGTCTAAAAAACATTTCCACTTCTTACTCCAAAGCTTCAATACACAGGACATTCTGTTTCTAATATTAACCATGTTAGTATCTTTTACAAAGGCTCTTTCTGATTCCACAAAGGAATGGCTCCAAAATCTGTTTATGTTTTTGAATATGTGTTGATTTATGTATCATCTCTCTGCAGGGTATTCCTGAAAATGAAAGGAGAACTACCAAAGCAGAGAGTGCTTGGCTCTTCCGGATATGGTACAACTTTGATCATAAGTATCCTTGATTGCTAAGGGGGGGGGGAGGTAAGAAGGTAGCAACACTGATCACTGCAATTTAATGGAACTGGGGTTTGTATGTTTCTTTGTGTGTGTATGTGTGTGTGTGTGTGAGAGAGAGAGAGACAGAGAGAGACAGAGGGAAAGACAAAGACAGAAAGAGAGGGGAGAGGAGGGGAGAAAGGAGAGGAGAGAGGGGAGGAGAGGGGAGAGGAGAGCGACGTTTAGAGGAGAGTGGGGGAGATGGGGGAGAGAGAGGAGAGGAGAGGGGAGGGGAGAAAGGAGAGGAGAGAGGGGAGGAGAGGGGAGAGGAGAGCGACGTTTAGAGGAGAGTGGGGGAGATGGGGGAGAGAGAGGAGAGGAGAGGGGAGGGGAGAAAGGAGAGGAGAGAGATGTTCAAAGGAGAGCAAGGGAGATAGGGAGAGAGAAAGGAGAAAGGAAGGAGGACAGAAGAGGAGAGGAGAGGAGGGAGAGAGAAGAGAGGAGAGGAGAGAGATGAGAAGGGAGAGGAGGGGAGAGAAGAGAGAAAAAAGGGAAGAGGAGAGGGGAGAGGGGAGAGAGGAGAGGAGAGAAAGGAGAGGGGAGAGAGATGTTTAGAGGAAAGAGGGGAGATGGGAGAGAAAGTGTGTGTGTGTGTGTGTGTGTGTGTGTGTGTGTGTGTGTGCACGCACGTGTGTGCACGCGGGGTGTTCAGGATGAAATCAGGGCCTTCTGCACCAAGGCTTAGAGTAAGTTTGAAACAGTGGATTCAACCGCTGCCTTCCTGAAGCAGAATGGGAAATCATTTACTCTTCCCTCTCTCTGTTAGTATAGTGGAGGAGGAAATTTACACAAATACAAACCAGAATAACATGCATTTTTGTTTTAATATATGGGTTTATTTATTGAGCATCCTTTAATAATATATTGTCCTGGAGCTCTACCACTTGAGCCACAGCGCCACTTCTGGCTTTTTTCTTTTTGCTTATGTGGTGCTGAAGAATCGAACCCAGGGCCTCATGCATGCAAGGCAAGCATTTATTGGTCCTTAAAAAAAGATCTGCTTGGCTGCAATGCTTGGTAAGAAATGTACGCATTATCCTGCCCATGCAATTGTAACCCCTCTGTACAGTATGTTCACAAATAAAATTAAATTAAAAAAAAAAAGATCTGCTTTAGGGGAAAAACATGACAAGGAAATAAAACTGCAGCCCTGTTAAATACTACAATATTCAAGATGATGCCTTTTATTGCAGGATCTTCTCCTGAGACCTAGGGACTATTTAGAATTATACAAATAGCTAATATATATATATATATATATATATATTGAGGGGGTCCGGTTGTGGGGCCTGAACTCTGGGTCTGGGTGCTGTCCTTCAGCTCAAGGCTAGTGCTCTACCACTTGAGCCACAGCGCCACTTCTGGCTTTTTTCTTTCTGCTTGTGTGGTGCTAAGGAATCGAACCCAGGGCCTCATGCATGCAAGGCAAGCACTCTACCACTGAACCACTTTCCCAGCCCCTGATTCATCATAATTTTTATGTGTAGTATGAAGTAGTTTTTTAGAATAAATATCTAGTTGATTCAGCCCTCTCTATTCAAAGTACCATCCTTTCCCCCACTGAAATTAGTAGAGTTTTTGTTGTAAATCCTCAGGCTTATAAGTCTGTGGACTTTCTTGTACTTTATGCTGTGTTGCTTCATAGTAGACAAATTTAAATGTTTTTGTATAGTATTGGCTTGACTACTTTTCTTCACAAGTTCTTTTCAATTTTAAATATTTGTCTCTTCTCTCTGCCTGCCTGCCTACCTGTCTTACTCCCTCCCTCCCTCTCTCTCTCTGTTTCTTTCTTCCTCCTTCCCTCACCCACTCTCTTTCTCCATTCCTCCTCCTGTTCCTCCTCTTCCTCATCACCCAAACCACTCCATCCTCCTTCCTCCTCCTCCTTCCTCCCTTCTCCTTTTCCTCTCCCCTCCCCCTTCCTCTTCTCGCCTCACCTCTCCTCTCCCCTTTTCTCTTATGCCTCTCTCTCCTCACCCTTCCCCATCTTCTACTCTCCCCTCTCCTTCCTCTCCTCTCTTTTCCCCCCTCCTTTCTTCCTTCTTTTCCCCTCTCCTCTCTTCTTCCCTTCTTTCTTCCTCCTCTCCTCTCCCCCTTCTCCCCTCTCCCTTCCCCCTTCTCTCCTCTCCTCCACCTCTCCTCTTTCTCTCCTTGTTTTTTCTCTCTTCTTCTCTTCCCCTGCCCCCTCCCTCTCCTGTCCTCTCACCTGTTATTTCTTTAAACCCTGGGAAGATGTTATCATTGATACCATCTGCTTGTGCCTTTTGTATGCGAAGTTTTTTTTTACTCTTCAGTGGATTTTTTATTTCTTTAATAATTTATTTAACTATTTAGACTTCATTTTTAATTTTTAGTTTTTGGTATGTGCACATGAACATGCATATGCATGCCAGTATGGGGCTCGAACTCATGGCCTGAGCATTACACTTAGCTATTTTGTTTAAGGGTAGTGCTCTATAGCTTGAGCCACAGCTCTACCTCTGGCATTTTACTAGTTAAGATTCTCAAGATGTTTCTGCCCGGGATGGCAGGAAATGTGGTCATCACTCAGATTTTGGGCTTCTGGGTAGCTAGGATTACAGGCATGAGCCAGTGGTGTACAGCTTACTCTTTTTTTTATTATTATTTTGACAATTTTGGTAAGGTTTTCTGTGAAGGAATGTATTCTTATAGAGCCAAACCTTAAGACTATTCTGTGCGGCTAGACAGAGACTTGGCCATTTTCAATGGCATTATAAGGCCAGATGGTTTATAAAGTATGCTTATATTGAGCGCTTTAACCTTTAATTAGAAATTATTAATATGAGAATTATGATGATGATGATGATGATGATGCTATACTGGTGTTTGAACTTAGGGCCTTGCAGTTACTAGGTTGACTTAAGATCCACTGGATCACATTTCCAGCCCTGTTTTACACTGGCTATTTTTTTTTTTTTT